ATAAGACTCAGAAATTTTTTATACTCTTAAATATTCAAACAGAGATTTGAAATCCTTGAAAAAGTCAGACAAAACCAAAAGAAAAATTAAAATTTTGTCCCATTTATAAATATTATTGAATTTTTTTATCATATTTTTGACTGCTTTATAAAATAAAAATTTATATTTTTCTTCGTAGTTTTATTTCTTAACTATTCCAATGGTCCAACTAACGTTTTTTCGTAATCACAATAAATAAATTATTATCATGGTCCAACAAACGCGCACCTTAAGCCGAAACCGGCATCGCCTTTGTGAGGGAGCCGGTAAAGATGCCGCTGCGTACATTCGTATCTGGTCTAGGTAATCTGTGCCATGGGTACAGCGCGTCACGATGAGGACAGCGCCCCGCTTGTAACGTATAATCCATCGCATGTGTTCATCTCTTGCTAAGCGATATTGTTGTTGTCCTTGTTTTTCGCATCATAATGAGTGAGAAAACAACAGAGGCAACCATTTACTGTGCCCATCTTAATTTTGGAATTCTCGGAACGTCGCTCAACGCCCGGTCGTCCAGTGTCGTGCCAACGCGGTTTGCGCTGAATATTAGATAAAATAATAATAGGCATTGAGGAAAAAATAAAATATGTAAGTTTTTTTTTTGTTTATTATACTAGGGCACGTGCCCAAGTGCCCTTACGGGCAAACTGCCACTGGGTATAATTGCTAATAAATTTATTGTTGTACACAATTTTTTCTCAAAATATGGACATTTTTCTACATTTTGATTTTTTCAAAAAATGTTTTCTGAAATTTTTGACTTTTTTTCTCAAAATTTTAACTTTATTTTCTTAAAATATGGATTTTTTTTCTAAATTTTGACTTTTTTCTAAAAACATTGACATATTTTTCTCAAAATTAAGACTTTTTCCAAATATACTTTTCTAAAAAAAATTACTTTATCTCAATATCTTACCTTTTTCAAAATGTTTAATTTTTTTAAATTTTTGACTTTATTTACTGAAAATGTGAACTTTTAATGAAATTTTTCACAATTTTAAATTTATACTTTCTTCTAAAATGGTTGACATAATTTTTTCAAAATATTGCCTTTTGCTTGAAATTTTTGGTTTTTTCTCGTAATATTGACATCTTCCCAAATTTTTTACTTTCGTTCTCAAAATATAAACATTTTTCTAATTTTTGATTTTCTTCTAAGAACATTGACTTCATTTTCTCAAAATTATGACAAATATTGACCTTTCTAAAAAATAACTTTATCTCAAAATCTTACCTTTTTTTAAATGTTTAACTTTATTTTCTCAAAATGTGAACTTTTTATGAAATTTTTGACTGTTGTAAAAATTTTTAATTTCTTCTAAAAATATTGACTTTTCTCAAAATTATTTTTTTTTTCAAAATAATTCTCAAATTTTTGACTATTCAAAAGTTTCTCAAAATCATGTTTTTTTTTAAATATTGATTTTCCTAAAAAAATAACTTTCTCAAAATCTTACCATTTTTTCAAAACGTTAACTTTTAAAAATTTTGACTTTCTTTAAAAACATTTCTTCAAATATTGGCTATCAGAAAATTTTAGCTTTTTTCTCAAAACTTTTTTCTAAATTTTGAATTTCTTCTAAACACTTATTTTCTCAAAATTATGACTTTTCCTCAAAATCTTAGTTTTCTCAAATTTTGTACTTTTTTCGCTTCTATTTTCTCAAAATCTGGACTTTTTATGAGATTTTAGCTTTTTAACTAGGGTTTGACTTTTTTCTAAAGATGTGGACTTTTTTAATTATTGCTTTTTCATAATTTTGACTTTATTAAAAATGTCAAGTCAATTTTTTTAAAATTTTGACTTTTTAAAATATTTTTTTTGTGGCGCCACAATACACCGTCATAACGACAACATATCTTTACTCGTAATGCCGGAAAACGGGACAACCGGTAGGTATGTAAAAAAATTGAAAAACGTTTAAAAAATAAAAAATACTTCAAATAGAATTAACATTAATGAAATATCAATCGAGCATATAGGATGAAACAAGTATAATTTTACTGGAGGGCGATCAACGACTTCCGAATAAATTTTCAATACGTTCTTGTAAGTGAAAGAACAACCAGGTTTGTTCCTACAACAAATGAGAGATAAGTATAATATTTTGAAAATCACAAGTCATATGCATGTTTCTACCATTTTTATGTATGACATTTATGTTGAAACATCTGACAAAATGTATAACTGGTTGCATGTATTGGTATTAAATTGTTTTGTAAGTTTTTATGTGGGCTAATTAATTATTATCACTTAATATCGCAGAAAATAAATATCTGACAATCCGCAAAGTGCTCGGTTAACAGTCAGCAAATGATCTAATCTATGGGACAACCGCAAAAAGTCGAAGAGACGGATTATTTTAGGCTGAATTGAAAAAATATAGGTTACAATTGCTAAAAACCAAACTAGCCATGGTTGGCGATGGTTTCACACAGACGTCAAAATATACTGATTTTTAGAATTTTGACTTAAAAAACATTTTCATGTACCCCGTATTTTTTTTAGATTCTGAATGAGATAAACGAAACAAAATTCAATTTTGAAACAATTCTGTGAAATACAACGTATTATTGCCACAAGAAAAATATGTTAAAAAGTCAGAATTTAGATGAAAATAGTCAAAATAATAAAAAACATAAAGTTCTTTTCTCTCTCTCAAATTCTTTTTTTCTCAAAATTAATGTTTCTCGAATTGTTTACTTTTTTGTACATTTTTTTATAAATTTTGACTTTTTTCTAAAATGTTGACTTGATTTCTCAAAATTATAACTTTTCAAAATATTTACTTTTTTCCAAAATATTTACTTTTTTCCAAAAAAAAGTACATTTTCATGCACACCTTAATTTTTTTATTCTGAATAAGACGAAAAATAAAATTTTATTTCGAAACAGTTTTATGAAATAAGACGCAATATTATTGCTACAAAAAAGTCAACATTTTGATAAAAATAGCCAAAATAGTACTTTTCTCTCAAATTTTTAGCTTTTTTTCTCTCAAAATGTTTACTTTTTCTCAAATTTTTGACTTTATTTCTTCAAAATTTGACTTTATTTTCTCAAAATGTGGAATTTGTTTTAAATGTTGACTTTTTATTGAAAGTGACCAAATATTGAAACACTAAGTTCGTTTTGTCCATCAAATTTTTGACTTTATTTCCCAAAATTTTAGCTTTTTTCGAAATGTTAATTATTTCTCTAAATTTTGACTTTATTTTCTTAAAATGTGGATTATTTTGAAGTTTGTTTTTCATCATACTGATTTATTTTCAGAATATTGACTTAAAAAAAATTTTCATGCACTCTGAATTTTTTTTTTAGATTCTGAATTGCGATAAACGCAACAAAAGTCAATTTTGAAACAATTGTGTGAAATACTTACTGAATTATTGCCACAAGAAAAATATTTTCAAATGTCAGAATTTAGATGAAAATAGTCAAAATAATGAAAAACATTAAGTTCTTTTTTCTCTCTCAAATTCTTTATTTTTCTCAAAATTAATTTTTCCCAAATTTTTTACCTTTTGTACGTTTTTCTAAATTTTGACTTTTTTCAAAAAATGTTGACTTAACTTTCTCAAAATTATGAAACAACTTTCTCAAAAATTACTTTTTCAAAATATTGACTTTTCAAAATATTTACTTTTTTCTAAAAGAAAGTACATTTTCATGCACACTTAATTTTTTTTTTTATTCTGAATAAGACGAAAAATAAAATTTTTATTTCGAAACAGTTCTATGAAATAAGACGCAATATTATTGCCACAAAAAGTCAACATTTTTATAAAAATAGCCAAATAGTACTTTTCTCTCAAATTTTTAGCTTTTTTCTCTCAAAATGTTGACCTTTTCTCAAATTTTTGACTCTATTTCCTCAAAATTTGACTTTATATTCTCAAAATGTGGAATTTGTTTTAAATATTGACTTTTTATCCATAATTTTAAGTTTTCTGAAATTTTTAACTTTATTTTCTCAAAACGATGTGGACATTTTATGAAATTTTTGACTCTTTTTTAAATTCTGACCTTCTAAAAATATTTACTAAATTTTCTCACCCCAAAACTGCAGCACCGAATTTGGTGTAATTTGGGAAATGTTCGTAAAACCAAAGTAACAATGATTGGTCTGGTGTTTAGCAATTCATTACCAAAATGTTTGTTTTTACTTTTTCTCAAAATTTCGACTTTGATTTTTTAAATTTTATTTTTCGTTTCTTAAAATGTGGAGATCTTCTTTTAAATTTTGACTTTCTGCTAAAAATGTGTACTTCATTTTCTCAACATTGTGACTTTTTCAAAATATTGACTTTTCAAAATTTTTGCTTTTGTTCATAATTGACTATTTTCTAAAAATGTTGACTCATTTTTTCCAAATTATGATTATTTAACACGTTAAGCACCACTGTAGAATATGAAAATCTGGTCCACTGGGCCAAACCGTTAATATTGTAAAATAGAACTGTCAGCAGTGAGACAGCATGGCGCTTAACGTGTTAAAATATTGACTTTTCTAAAATATTTTTTTTGTGGCCCCCCAATACACCGTCGTATACCAATTTTAACTCGTAATGCCGGGAAAATAGGACAACTGTTATGTAAAAAAACTCTTCTCTCTCAAATTTTAGACTTTATTTTTTCAAAAGGTGGACTTTTTCTAAAACTTTTCATATTTTTTAAATTATAAATTTCTTTAAACATTGTTGACTTAATTACCTCAAAATTATAAGTTTTTTCGAACAAAAATTGACTTTTCTAAAATTTTTAACTTTTCTAAAATGTTCTTTCCTCAAAATTTTGATTTTATTTTCTAAAATAATCCGCCTCTTCGATTTTTCGCTGTCGGCTATCGGTCTAATCAGTAAAAAATATTTGTTGGAACTCAAAATTACCAACTATACAGAATCAGTGACCTGTTTCTCACAGCCGTGGGAACAAACTTAAGCATCGTAGACAAGAAAAATCACGCCATGGTCGCACCTGGCCCAATTTCCCCCTTGAAATACCGGCACAAAAGTTCAGAATCGACCAGTTTAATGTAATCGTTGGCGACGGCGTTCCTAAAGTCCGTACACGCTAGAATATTATCCGGAAAATGTCTATCTTGGCCCACCGGGTACACTAAGTTGGCTTTACAGAATTCAGTCTTAATATTCACTATAGAGTAATTATATTCGTTCATAACTAAAACAGGCTTAATAAACGCCATCAATGTGTTGAACGTTCTCACGTCTTTGATCAATCTAGACTGGTACAGTTCTCTTCTTTCCTCCAACGTAGCTGTCGATTGATTAGAAATACTATTTGGTGCCTTTGCTCCCATTAGCGACAGCCTCAGCAACGACTGGTAATTTTTGAAGGGTTTCAATGCGATATTTCTATCGTTCTTGAGCATTTCCTCTAACTCGTTCATTCTTTTCATGCCCACGAAACACGGTTTTATCAAATGTTTGTACTGACTTTCCAGACTTTCCCATCTAGGAATGCAAACGACTGGCTGCAAATTTAACTTTTCGTACGACGGTCGTTTTCTTCTCCTCCAAACCGGTTTGCCCCTGGTGGATTTCTTAAAGGAATTTATCTCGTTCATTTCCTCGTCGCCGTTCAACATCACGACTTTCTTAGTCATCAACAAACTATCGAAATCCTTGTAATTTCCAGTGTTCGGTTTCAAACTGTTGGTATCCGTTTTATTTTGAGATGCTTTGTACTGTCTGGCGTGTTTGTATGCTTCAAATTTTCTCCTATATTTGACGATGACGTGGTTAAGTTGGTTGTGACACCTTTTGGAATTAGCCAGTTCTCTTTTCGAGAAACCGTTGAAAGTGATTTTGGTTCTGGTAGTTCGTGCAGCCGGCGCCGTCCAACACGGAAACAGCTTCTGTGAGACGGAAAATACCTGAAAAGAAACAACGTTATAAAGTCTTATATACTCCTTTTCGTTAACAAAGTATATCAGAAATCATTCAGAGGGTAAAAGAAAACAATTACCTGAAATAAATTAGAGAAGAAATTCAAGAAAAAATTAAATTAAAAAGGAAATGGCAATAAATCAGACAGCTCATTGATAAAAGAGCGTTAAACAATACAACTCAGCGATTAAAACGAGTAATTAATCGTATAAAAAAAAAAGAGTAAATTGGTAACTACCTGAGTGAATAAACTAATTAAAACCCACCAATAAGAAATGTAGACAGAACCTGGGTACATAATAAATCCCAAAAAGCCTGTAGACATTTCAGCGAAATGATGAAGAAGGGCATCATGACTGGATTGAAGCAATTACAAAAAATATCATTAAGCTCACTACTCCAAAGGAAATCTCTGATGAAATAAAAAACATTAATCAACGGTGAAATTAGAAAACAACTTCCTATGAAAGCAATTTTAAAAATAACTCAGCTAATTAATGCATCATTTAGAATGAGGTATGTAACTAATCTCTAAAAAATAGCAGGTCATGATTCCAAAACCAGTCAAATCACCTAACAAAGTTTCATCGGCCTGTATTATGAAAAATTACTCCTTAAAATATATGAAAATGATAATAACGCAGAAGAACCTATTTCCTCTCTCATCGATTTGGCTTCAGAGAAAGCCATTCTACAACAGATCAGGAGCACAAAATAACAGGTACCATTGAAAAATAGAAGAAAAAAGTGTCATCTTCCTGCAAGAAATACAAGCTTTGATAAAGTATGGAATGAAGGATTGATCGCCGAGCTGGAAACACTATTACCATTAATTCATTTTTTACAGAAATATATTTTAGAATTAAACAGGAAGAAGCCTATTCTGAATCAAAGAAAACCAAGACAGTAGCACAGTTTATCGCTAAAGAATCAGTTCGCTCACTCTACGTCGGCACTTTTGATCTCAATGTTCCAGTTCATATACTGCGCAACTCGGATTTGTATCCCTGGCGCATACAGAATCAAATCATAACCAATACAATATATGACAATCGCCTATATTCAAACAGCAGTCTTCTGCGCATCCTGAATTTGTATCCCTGGAGTGGATATTATTTTGGAACATTCAACTGGTCCAAGTGAGCTAACTGATTCTTTAGCAATAAACTGTGACAGTAGTATCACAAGGTAGCGTGCTGGGTCCCCTACTTTACCTACTATACATCAATGAAATGTCTAACCTTACGAAGATAAAATAGCTACATTTGCAGACAATACTGCAATTTTAGCTACAGGAAAAGATCACGAGAAGCTGCCAGAAAAACTCAAACCAGATCCATGATTGGAATAAAAGATGGCGCATGCATCCTCCATAATTGATAGGCACCTCCTACATCCTATTCAACCATTTGTTAGTACAGCCAGCCAGTTCCGTTTCGGTCTTCTTGCATATTTTGAGGTTCTAGTTGGAGTAGTGTATTTATATGATTTTCTAGTCTAGTTATGATAATCTGAGATTTGATCCTGAATAATATCGTCGCCCTAATAAGAAAAATGCCTATCTCCGTTTTGGAAAATTTTACAGGAGAGAAGAAAAATTAGACGAAAAAATAGAATATTACAATATTACTTCGTCTTCTTCACATAACTTTGAATGTAACATAAAAAAATAATTTCCGCGCGTTACTCTTTTAAATAAAAGTGTGGAGCTAGGCAAATTTATTTTTCGCAATTGTCAAGTCGTAAATAGGCTAATTTCTATGATTTCAATCTCAAATTAACCGGTTAAATTGACATTCTGAAGTTTTTTCAGAAGGTGGCTTAGACGTTTTTCTAATAAATGGTAGCAAAATCCCATTTTTGCAAAAAGTGGAGTTAGGCCCTTTCTTATTAGGGAGACGATATATGAAATTTTTAAGTCTTCATGGAGGGTTATATTGGACACATACCAAAGTTAACACAGTTATCAAATGGAGTATTTTGTACTGATTTATTTGGATAATAGATAAATTTTACTCGCGCATCCCCAGAACTTGCTCTGATGACAATGACACGCCTCCGCACGGTTGGAATAGAACCTGATGTATGATCTGGACGTTGCTTTTGGGAGGAGTCGTTCGATACGCTACCGCTGCTTCAAGCGAACATGGACTGCATCTCATCAAGATATATCTTTCATAAGCCATATAAAGGTATAACAAAACAAATAGAAAAGCCGGAAGTGGCAGTTACGATTTATATCTACACCAACGGATCTGAAAGAAAACAAGGCTCAGGATGTGGAATATACTCCAGATCCTTAAACCTAAACATAAAATGAACTGCGAGCCAGTGTAGTTTAAACAGAGCTCACGGGGATTCTCATAGGCAGCAAAAGAAATCATCCGAAACAATAGCGCTGGAAGGAACATGCTATACAGAAAGTAGACAAGCACTACTCACCCTGAATAGACCACGAATTTACTCAGGGTTAGTATTAGAATGTCACGAAGCTTTGATCGAAGTATCCATCAACAATGTCGTCACCTTAAGATGGAACAAAGGTCACGCCACATTGAAAGGTAACCGTCTTGCTGATTCACTGGCCAAGAAAGCAGCCAACCAAATACTTTTTGGACCTGGCCGTTATATTGGCCTGACAAAACCGGTAGTGGCAGACCTAATTAAAGAACACTCCCTTGTGAAATTCAAGGAAAGATGGGGTGAAACAAGAAACAGCAGAGATGACAGAGAGATTTTAAGTTATCCTGACAACACTGCAGCAAACAAATACTTGACTATGACTAGACAGAATCTGTGCCTAATCACAGGCATTCTGACTGGTCATTGCTAAGAACGGAAGCATTTTCATATCATGGGGCTGTCAGAATCCACACTCTGCAAGGGGTGCGAACAAGAAGATGAGACCATTGGGCATATCGTCTACGAATGCTCGGTCGGCACTCTCATTTATTGGAAGATTAGTGTTCGGCGAGTATCGGCTAACACCGGCCGATATAAGATAAGCACCTCTTGGCGACGTTGCCAACTACATTAAATCTGTAGGAGGATGCACAATGGGCCTAGTGAGGCCTAAGGGCCGTGGGGGGTACATCCAGATTTTGCGAAGGAGAAGTATTTTCTAGTGCCAATCAGAATTTCCTGCCGATTAACCAGTTTATCTTTTAATGGTGCAATTGTTTTAGTTTTTCTATAAAATTTTCTAAAAGTTTTTGTATAATATTGGATAGTATATTTACAAGTTTATTCTTTGCAGATTCTGGATCATCCATAGAGTACACCCAATCCCATGAAACTGTTTTTACCATATCAAGTATTTTGTTATGATTTATATAATTTTTGTGATCATGCTGTAGATTATTTTGCTTGTATAATTATTTGTAAAATAGTAATATAATGATCTATTATGTCATTTTATAATACTAGTGGTAAAATATTCTCATAATAATTATTATATCTAGTTTTTAAACAAATGTGATCGAAACAAGTTTTACTATTATTTCGAACTCTTGTAGGTATATTTATAGTAGAAATGAAACCCTGGTCATTTAAAATGTTTAAATATTCACAAAAGATTTGAGTTTCGACTAATAAATTAATGTTAATATCTCCAGTAAATAAGTGATATACTTCATTATTATCAGTTATTTGATCAAAATATTCCTGGAGAGATAATACAAAATCGTTCGCTTCTGATCCACAGGGTCTATAGCATGCCGTAATGGCGACAGATTTAAACCCTAATTTGATACGTGTTAAAATAAATTTGAAATGATTTATATTTATTATTTCATAATCATAATTGTAAGTTTCCCCTATGTATACCAATACTCCATCATTCTGATTATAATTACCCCCGTTATAAACATGATAACCTGGAATTTTAAAAATATTGGGGTCTGGCAGTTAGTACTATGCAGTCAACGTTACAGTTCAGATTTTGTAGAAATATCTTAAACTCATCTAGATTTTTTCCTACACTAGATATGTTAGTGTTTATTAATGAAAAATGTTTGCTTTTATCGTTTACTTTCAGTACCTCTTTACATTCATGCATAGTTGTAAGATTAAAAGTTTCAATATTTGCTACGTCAAAGTCCCTTATATATTTATCCATCCTTCACTATTATTTGATGTTAGTATAAAATAATGAAATAGTTCCCTAATTTTATTTGAAAGTTTCCTAACAATATTTTAAAATGATAACTAAAAAGAAGAAAAAAACTAAACTAAACTAAAAAACTATAAATTCAAAAATTATTAATTTATATTAAACATAATTTAATATATCAAACCGAATTAAACCTAAATGTAATGAATCGCAATTTCGTATACCTAAAGGTACCATTTCGGTAGGCGCGACAGACGACCGCCGACGCGACATACGACCGCCGACGCGGCCGAGAAGTGTCGCTTCACATCTAAAATACATATAATTATATGAAACACATTTCGCACGGCGCGACACGAGAAGTGTCGTCAAGACGACACTTCCTGGAGACACTTCTGAATCTGCCTCTGGGCAAAGGTTTGCTGCGTGTCGCACTCGGGGTCACTGTCCTCGAGCATCGGTTCATTTTGAGGGTGATTAGGATGGAAATTTCTTTCGATCTAGGCAGCGTTGCCAGATTTTGGAACAGTATGGGTAAATAAAAAACCGTAGATCTGAACAGTATATGTTAATACAGGGGTAAATAATTATAATATGCAGTGTAGTAAATAAAAAAACAAGTATATAAGAAACGAAAAATAAACTTTTTTTCTACCCAAATTAGAAAGTAAACAAAGAATAAAAACAAATAAAAACATTTTTATTATATACTTAACGTACGGGAAAAAACCAATGAAAAATAATAAGTACCTACTTCTTTTAGATCAGTCTGAATCAGATAATTCAAAATCGTAGTGTTTGGCATATGCATGTTCTTTTTATGATGCCCTATTAATTCTTTGTTTCATTTTAAATAAAAACAATGATTATCTTGATGTTTTTTTTATGGAGCCAACCTACAGTAGTGGATGCTTATTACGCTGCTTTTACTGCAGAAAATTTACTAGAGAAAATATTCTTTAACCATTTGCTGAAGAATGAGGCAAACTTAATAAATTAAGAACAAAATTTGCTAGAGACAAAAACAGTAGATCTACGTGAAAACAGTAGGTCTGGCAACGCTGATTGTTCCCTCGAATGGTTATCCCTGTAAATGTCGCGCGACACTTCTCAAGCTTGCGAAATGTACGAAGCGTAACATTTATGCATCTGTCGTCCTACTCGACCTTGGGGTCGTTTTAGTGGTCGCTTGTCTCCTGACGCGCCTACCAAAATGGTACCTTAAAGCTCGAAAGTATAAGACAGAAATAAATAGTACGTGGGCCGAAATCAAAATAACAAATAAGATTCACCTATATATTCGGCAACTAATAATTTAATACATAAAAAGAAAAGTTTATACATCGAATTTATTTAGGATTAGGATTTTGTGATCTAAGAAGTCTATTCGTATTTCTCGAAGAAGAACTGCCAATTGATGATGTGCTATTTTGTCTGCTACGATGAGATTCTCCAAAAGGATTAGAAGCCTCTAGTAAATCGTCAATTTTATAGGTAACTCCCTCAATAATCAGTGTGTTTTCTTTTATTTGTGCCGAGCGGCCTTGTGAGCGTACTAATTTCTGGTGCTTGAAGATAATTTACTTCGTTTCGTAGTCCTCCTTAGTATAATCCAAAGATATAAAAATACCAGTGCCTTTTAACAGTTTCGCTTGACTAAGGATTTCGGATTTAAATTTAGATGTCAAACATTCAATAACAACAGGTTTAGGTTTATTAGTATTTCCTCCGGAGTTTAGTCTAAACGCATCTCGTAGATCCCTTCCATCACAGTTGATATTCAGCTATTGGCGAAATAGACTGTCAACAGACTTCAGAATATCAACTCCATCTAAGTTATATATTATCAAGTTGTACATTTTAGCTTTTTTCTCGCTAGCTATTAAGTGATTTTTTTAAATTTATGATTTCTGATAGGAGCTAGTTGTTTTCTTTCTTTAGATCATCTAGTTTTTGTTGTATTGTTAGTTTAAATGCACAAAACTCACTGCTTAAAATATCTACTTTCGTACTCAACTGCTGGTTTTGTTTTTTAATTTCATTAAACATTTGTAGAATATCTTCCTTTGTTATTTCAAGCATTACTAAATATGTAAGCCCATGGACTAAATAAATTTATTGGTCAAATGGTGTTTGCTTCTTGATTGTCAAGATACGTTCAGTGGTTTTTTTGGATTTATCGTTGTAAAATTAGTAAGATTGGCAATTTGTGATATTGTATAATCACTTGTATACTTATTGACTATTTCGTTCGAGACTAGATTTTTTTCTGAATCTATTGATATAAATATATTTGCAGTACTCACAGTTTGTCTCTTATAAAATTCACAATTTGACGGAGCACAATTAACACGTGTATACCAGAACAATTTTAAGAATAGAATCTTTGGCTAAAGATTCATTTGATCTAACCGTTTGAACATTTGCTTTACTTTTGGTTCTTGTGTTATAGGCATTAGAGGTGTGTCGTTCGCGAACGATTCGTTCAAAAAGAACGAATCAGTGCACTGACTCGAATGAATTAATTCACTGTTTTTAAAAGATTTGAATCTTTTTTGAGTCAATTGCTCGATGGCTCTGCGATCAATCAAACACGCCGAGTACCGAGTTTGAATGATTCGTTCATTCGAATCGGATTCGAAGATTCGGTCACAATTCGGTATTTTACATCGGCATCGGCAAATCGGTCGCTTTTGTTCTACGTTCTACGACATAATACGAGAACTCTGACAGGCGGACGCGGTATGTGTCTGTAATGTTGTCTAATAAATAAATTTAAATCGAAGTAAATAAGTAATCCAATAAATGACGAATCATAAATCTATAATTTTGCGTTAGTTTTGGCTATATATTTAGCATTTAAAAAATTATATAAATAAAAATATCATAATCAGAAAGATGGAGTTTCTGTTATTTTAAGTGTTTGTAATCGTCCCCAAGTTTTATTAAATTTTGACTGCACTCGAAGATGGAAAAATGATTCCGAAACAAATGTAGTGCTGTGCTAAATAAAAACATGGCCGAATAAACCTAAGAAATTTTTATTTATATACAATTCTGCTACGGTCAGGAAATTATCGTTATTTAAAAAAAAATTGTTACTGTTGTTTATCTTAACGGACAAGGATGTATCTACTATTATAGAATTTAAATTTCCAGCTGTCTTCTTTTTATGAAATATGATACATTAATTCGCTTTACTTTAAATTATAAAATTAAAATAAAACCGGTTATAATTATTTTACTCGAGCACCTCACAACTCAAATCATTATATTATTTCTCACGCATTACGGAATAAACCCCACTCAACGACCTAGTAGGTAGGTAGATAGATAGGTTAGGAAGTACTCAAATTCGTAAACGTTCGGTTCGATTTCCTTCGCCGGATCGGCGGAATAACATCGTTCGTAGTTAGCTAAAGTGAATCACTTGAGAACGAATCTTTAAGAACGAATCTTTTTAGGTGAATGAATCAAATGAATTAATTCAGTAAAAAGATTCGAACTTCCCACCTCTAATAGGCATGTTCAATGTCCCGTAAATTATTTTTGTTTTTATAAATAAATATTATTATATTGTATATGTACATTTGTCTTAAGTCTAGTGTCATGGATTCCATAAAGATGAGGTTAGAGGAATAAGACATTGGTTTTTTTATACATAATTTTCAAGAATTTTTTTGGAGAAGATCCAGAGGTTTTGTGTGAAAAGAGTATGCTCCATCCCAACCCAAAATTCCGTACTGTAATCTGGATTCCACCAGAGAGTAATATATTGTCTTTAAATAATTAAGATCTAAAATTGTATTTTTATTATATTATCTACATGCTTATCCCATTTTAAATTGCTATCTATCACCACACCTAAATATTTTACATGTTTTGCAGATTTTATTTCAGTGGTAGTACTACTACCTATTATTTTCAAAACCTCATAAATTGGTATACTTTGATGGTGGATAGAAAAGGGTATAAAAACTGTTTTGCTGAAATTAACAGTTAGTGACATATGTCTAAGCCAGTCTACCATGATATTCATATCACTTTCAGCTTTTAATTTTAGGTCTTCCCACGATTTATCATTATATAAGATGAGCGTATCATCGGCAAAACAAATGATTTCTCCTGTTGTCTTAAGGTTAAGTAAATTATTTATAAATATGGAAAAGAATAATGGTCCTAAAATAGTACCTTGAGGAACGCCAGTATTTATTTCCATTTTAGTACTTAATACATTTTTAATCGAATTGAAAGAAAACAAATCCATTTAACAAAATACTTGAGTATGACTAGACGCTAAGCTCCGCTGAAGAGTACATGTCAACAAGAAATGAGAGAAGAAATTTAAGGGGGGTAAGGTTAATTCGTGCAAAAAAATGCACATTTTTGTGAATTTTTTTGACGACATAGTTAAAATCTGTATTAAATAATAAGGAAATGGTAGCAATTATTCGGAAGCGTCTCAGGAAAAAGTAGAATTGCGGTGCCCCTCCTAACTCGGTGCTGGACCATCAGAAATAAAAAAATCAAAGTTCTCTCGTTAGATAATCGTTTTCCCCAGGTAACGCTGGGAGGGTTTTTCGAAATTTAAATATTTCACTTTTTGGAAACACTGAAGTAAAAAACGCGATTCTTGCGAAAAAATAGACTAATTTGTTATTATAAAATAAAAAAATATTAACAAATTTGAAAAAAACTCTCCAGCGTTACCCGGTAAATTATGTACAGAAATAGTGTTCAAAATTTTAAAAGGATAGGTGCAGTAGTATTGAAGTCATGAGGGGCACCGACTTTGCAAACGTGAGTTGTGGGAAAAATGCTTTAAAGTTTTGAACACTAAAAAATTTGGAATAAAACGTTCATAAGCGAGTTTTATCGGCTTATCTCACACTGAATCATTGATGCCAGGTCCATAAAGGATGTTGCTATCATTCATGATGTCTAAAGCATCTTTTTGCTCCTGTCTACGACGAATCCTCATTCATGAACGCTTGATCCACTACTGATTCCTATGTCTTGCTTGTAGGTCATTAAAGCAAAAGAACATGCCAGGCCAATGCTACACTAAATTATATACAGTACAGATATAAACACGTTTGTACTTGTGTCATTGCCTTTAGCCATTCTCTTTTTAGCATATTTTTTTGAATAAAAGGCTCATATATCGTAAGAATTTTCATCTCAGTGGGGGCCATCTCCCCCTCCCCTGGAGCCGCCCTCGATGTCAATTAACAATAGCGCGTTCGGGCAGGGCAGGTATTTTCTAATGCGCTGAGTCATATATGAGGCGCGGTTACGCAAACCACAGTATCTTCTTAGTTTTGCTCCGATTCATCTCAAATTTTCTCAAAATATTCTTGAAAGGTTTTCCATTCACAAAATCAAATATAAATAAAATGCAAAAAAAAGAAATACAGATATACAACAAATTGTTTCTCTACTATCAAATTATAAAAACGAGCTAGACATTATGGCATCCAGCTTTGGGGCTGTACCAGCAAAATCAACAACAAGAACAAGATACCAAAGAACATTGGCACCTAGAAATGGTTCAATATTAAAACAGAATCTACCTGGTGCTTCAACCAGTAAACCTTACCTTTTCTGTTGACGTACAAGCGCTCTTAGCCACGAAAGGTTCCTCCACAGCCTCTCCCATTGAAGCTTTTTCGATAATATCGTCGAAATTCAACGAGAACGGCTCGATGATGGGGGCTGGTTTAGCGGCAGATTGGATTTTGGCTTGGGGATCTATTTTGATAACCAGAGGTCCTACTTCTGGTATGTTAATGACGACTGGGCCGCCGCTATCGCTGCTAGGCATCACATTGTGAGGTATCACTATTTTGTAGAGTTTGTTGTTCTTTTTTATTAGAATTACTTTTCCCCCAGGTGTAGACGGTATTTGTGTTGTTGAGATGCTAGTGACGTTACCTGTAGAAGTTTATTTTAACGGTTAACTAATGTATTAATATCAGATATTAGTTTAATTACATGAATTTAAAGTTTAGACAAATAGTTAAGTAACAGAGGTCTGAATATCATTAGCATTCTTCAAATAGATTTATTTAAATGTTTATAGTCAAGAGAAGAAAGGAGTGCAGTAATTTAATTTGCAGAACATAGTGCAGGTTCAAGAGGTAGACATTTTATTTATAACTCATCCTTCAATGCTTATTTGTAGTTAAAATTAAAATTTTAATCCCTCTATAAAAGGGAAGTTGAGTAATACAGCCGTTGAAATCCGTATTAATCGAGCGATGTCGTGTTATTCGAGCATCAAGCCTAGCAGATCGGGTAATTACGGGGAATCCCAGAATGGGCACAGGGGAATCCCTCTTTATTATATTTCTATCTGCAGAGCAGTGTTTGTACGTTTTTATAAGTTACAAAGGTACATACATATTTAATTAAAGTGAATCACAGTCGTAAGATGAAAAAAAAAACAATAAAAGAAAAAGAGTAACTGAAGACCTGAAAATATGCAAAGCTGTCATTAAGTCGGTCCAGATTTCCTTTGTGGCTCAATTCTTAGGTCTTGACGGTTGCTTTCAAGGGCGAAAACTTTTACCAACTCTGCTGCGTCGGAAAGGGCCCAAAATGGACCCTAAAACTGGTGTCCCGCCAATATCTTCCACAATATGCAAATTAGAGAATTTTTGTTTAGATAGAAAAGAAAGATCTTATCATTATCTACAAAAATGGTCCCTATCATTTTTGTCGGGAATTCGACAGGTTTCGAGATAACCGCAATCAAAAGTCCCCTCGTTCAGCCCCTGCTTTATCTCTATAGCAATGCTTTAAAATGGTGTGCATTGAATAACAATATAATGAAATATGAGTTTTTAATTACTGCTTGTTTCAAAGATTTCTAGAACTCCGAAAACGTATGAAAAATGCAAATAAACAAATCAATTTTGTTTTAAAACGCCAGGAAGATACTGGAAAAAAATTTCTGAGATGATTCGTGACATCTCAAGATCCCATTTAAAACAAAAATGGGATAAAAAACTATTAAAAGAAAAAAATATAAATGAATTACTATAAAGTGGTCCAAAATAGTGAGAAAACGCAACTTTGACCCCTTTTTCAATGTTCTTGGCAGGAAATAACGGGCTTCAAGGCACATGGATCGATACCTATGGGTTTTCCCATTGTAATGAACTTTGTCATCGAAAAATATCAATTTTTGACCGAGTTCTGAAACAATTTGTCCACCCGTTTACAAACTAATCAGCATTGCTATAGAGATAAAGCAGGGGCTGAACGAGGGGACTTTTGATTGCGGTTATCTCGAAACCTGTCGAATTCCCGACAAAAATGATAGGGACCATTTTTGTAGATAATGATAAGATCTTTCTTTTTTATCTAAACAAAAATTCTCTAATTTGCATATTGTGGAAGATATTGGCGGGAAACCAGTTTTAGGGTCCATTTTGGCCCTTTCCGACGCAGCAGAGTTGGTAAAAGTTTTCGACCTTGGAAGCGACCGCCGAGACCTAAGAGTTGAGCCACAACGGAAATCTGGATCGACTTAATGACAGGTTGGTCCCTTCAGTTACTGAACTATATAACAATCGAGGAGAAGTTAAAACCCATAAAAAGGTTGGATGTAAAAATTATTAATACAATATTTTAAAGTAGGTATTGGCATTTATTCTTAAAGAGTAATAAAAAAATATGCATAAAAAAATTTAAAAATCTGGATTATCCGAGCCGCCAATTATCCAATCTAGGGTACAGCTCACATTATCTCGGAAAATCGGGAGTCTACTGTATTGTAATCGTGAAAAAGTCATCTTCCGAGATTATTTCAGATTTTCATGTTTAAGGGTCCCTAGATTACGAAAAACATGTTTTCTCATTCCGTCGGTCTGTGTCGCCTGCAGGTCTGTTGGCGCGATAGCTCAAAAAAGCCTTTATAGAAAACCTTCAAATTTTGTATGCAGATAAGGTTCCTTTCTGGCTCAAACTCAGTTATACAACCGATCAGTTATATACAGGGTGAGCAGTTTTTAAAATAAAAATTATTTTTAAAAGTCGACAGATTTCGACTAAAATTGGTATATGAGAATTTTAAAAGTCAAAGATTACAGAATCTAAATAAATTTTTTTAAATTCAGGCACTGAAAGGAATCGTATTTAATCAAAAAAGTTCCCACTTGAATGGAAATAATAAAAATCATTCTTTTGGTTTGTGTAACTGGACCATTTTAAAAACAACCAATCATCTTTGTTCAATAACGGTGATCGTGACGAAGAATACCGAGTGGCTGCGAAGTCAGAACTCGGGTGGGATCTAGAGGAAGACCGATGGAGAGATAAATGTAAAAAAGGGTTTTTGGTTTGGTGGTATTAATTTTAAGTGCTTAGGTGTTCCCTGCTTTTACAATTTCTATATAAAGGAAAGTTCTGAGTAAAATACTTAATAGATTTTTTTAAAAGATATTAATTTAAAAAAAAATGTGAAAAGCAAAGTTATTAACCCTTTATGTACGAACGTCGCCTGTACGCGACATTTACAAGTCACTTAAAATAGCCGAATGTCACGTATAAGCGACAAAGGTAAAAAATAATCATGATACCCTATATATTCATATGAAAATATGTTATTTTCTAAGCATACATTATGACGAATATCGCTTGTGATCGACATTCCTAAGCAAATAGTATAGCCTTATGTCACTTATAAGCGACCCAACTTTGAACCTAGGGAAAGACTTAGGTAAAAACTTATACAGGTGGCAACGCAGCATGGCAACTGACCACGTACTTTACAATGACCAAGCGTAAAATTATGGTAGTGTTGTTTATTTCACCAAGCAACACCGCAAAACCTACAAATTGTTTTAAAATAGGAGTCGCATATAAGCGACAATAGGCATACAGATGTGTGTAAGTATATAAAAATAATTCCGGACAGCATACGTGCTTTGGAAAAAAATCCGTCTTTAGAGGGTTAAGAAATTACATATACAGTGTAACAGCCAAATGAAATAAATTCAGTAGCTTAATAACTACATATTTATAAAAAAAAATCCCAAACACGTCAATTTTAGATTATAAAACGACATCTTGTTAAGTGAAAAAGTCACCTTTCCTTCAGCCCCCTTCCAGTGACAGTTGCAACCCTAAAATTTGTAAGTCAAATGGCACCATCAATCATCTTTAAATCGCCCAGGAGCGCCACGGCAAATAATATATATCTCTTCCCCGGACAAGATCAGCTTTTGGGGTTAAAATTCACTCGTCAGGAGGTGAATTAAGGAGAGTATTATTATTATTATAATATTAGTATCTTATAAACCATGTTTCTGGTCTGTAGTTAATAAATTCGAATGACATGTATAACAATGACAGCAATTATTAATGTCATATAGTTACAATCACACAAAAAATTGCTAAGGCGTTTTAAACAAAATTAAAAATGATGAATGTTGATAACTTTTGTCTTTTTTTTTGTTAATAGCTTCAAAAAATACTTAGTTTCTCATTATCAAGAAAGAAACTCTAGTAGTTATTAATTACTTAGCGTGTTGTAGCGAATTTCGTCTATCAAAGGAATTTATTTGTTTTGAGATATCATTTGTCACTGGAAGGGGGTTGAAGGTAGAGGTGAAATTTTCAATTTGCAGGATGTCATTTTGTAATCTAAAATTGACGTTTTTTTGGGATTTTTTTATACATAAGCACAGTTATTGAGCTACTTAATTTATTCCATTTGGGTGTTACACACTGTATGTAGTAAAAAAGGTTTATTTGATCAAAATAATGTAACTTTAAACAGTTTAGCTGGTTATATGTATTAAAATTAGGTTACAATTTTAAAAAATTGAAACAACTTGTTCACGATTTAAAATTTGGTAAGCACAATCAGAGAATTGATTCTTCTACTCAACTGAGCATTATTCTCATAACTTATACATTATTTTTTATAGATAGATTGTATTCTACTAAACTAATATTATTTATATTATTAAAACTAATTTAATACTATTAAGATGTTTACACTTTCTCAGTAAATATATTTTGTTCCAAATTTTATGAAATACTGTTACCAAATGATATACTTTTAACGCTATATTGTTCTTAAGAACAGAAACACTGAAGAAATGCAACGGAAAAGCAGCTGCAAAAGATTGAAAACAAAAAAGACGATAAAAATGAAACAAGGGAAGGTTAAGAAAAACTTGAGGTTGTAGGATCAAGGGATATATCATGGCATAAATCTAAAAATATGTAAATTAATTATATAATTATTCTTATGCTTCAAATAAAATACATTTGCTCTTAAAGCCAGACTATTTAGTACCAATGACAGGCATTTTATAAAATTTTACCTCTATTAAAAATTTAAAAAAATCTTTGCTAAGTATATTATTTGTAGGAATTACTAAAACACTTTTGCTCATAAAACCAGAATATTTTGTACTCATTGACCGATTTTTATAAAATTACAAAAATTACATTAAAGAACAACTTCAGTTCTTATTATATAATTTATATAAAACAATTTACATAAAACAATTTATATAGGTAACACAATTCTATAAAACAATTTATACAGTGTGACTGGTAAGTGGGCGAATTCCTTTGAGGAGGTGAAAATAGAGCCTATTTGCTACCGATTAAACATAATTTATCTCAATACCATTCTTAACGGTTTTCGAGATAATTCTTTTTGTTTTATTATTAAATAAATAATTTTTATTTGTAAGAGTAACTGTTTTATTTTCAACAAAAATTTTGTCAAATATTGGTGTTAAAATTTACCTCAATTAGGTAGTAATAATTAGCTAGTAACAACGACATGTATAATGTTCCATACAAATTATTAAAGAAACAATATGCTGAGTTACTACAGGTGAATAAAAAAGATGGTTACGATAAAAGAATACGATTATCTGACAATAAAACTAAATGTTTATGGGGTA